CTTCTTTCCTTTCCCTTCTTTGCTTTTGCTTTGTCTTTCCCTAACATTCCACCCAGTTTCTTATCCTAGCCACCAATGTCTTGCCTGCTGTTTATTTCACTTGCCTTCAAGATGTTCTTTTGACTTTAATTAAACTCAAGAGCCTGGAAAATGTATTCAGTCCTGTCTTAAAAAAAAAAATAAAAAAATAGACAAGTATAATTTCCAGGCCCTTTCTTTTCAGCTCCTACATTCTTTTTAAGCTCTCACCAACTGTAACCTCTTATTTCTACACTTTTTCCCTCTGTAGTCAACCAATTTGGCCTCAGGTCAATTAAGCGTTAATTTTTTTTTTTTTTTTAATGCTAGAGATAGAGAGGCTGAGGGGAATGAAAAGGATCCAGTGGCAATCAAGATAAATGGCTCCACAGTTTCAGCCCTTCTGAAATTGATTTCCCATTTAAGAGATGCTTTTGACTCTGGTCCAGACCAAAACAAAGCAAGGTCACAATTTTTTGAGGGTCACAATGTAGTGAAGCCTGGGATTTATTGGGAAAATCCTTCATGATGAGATTTCCAGTTTATATTTCCAGGTGTGGAAAGTGTTTTCCCAGAAGTTTAATGACAGAGCCAACAGGATAGGTGCTTTCCTGATTCAAACAGGTAAATAGATCTGTGGTCTCCCATCACACGTGGGTTTTTTGATTCTACTGTTGTTAGTGATGTGATGTTGAAATGAACTCACCATGTTTGGGTCCTAGAGAGAAAACCTATGACTCACATGGATGAGTCTTAATGAGTGAGCTTGGCTACAGGATTGTGCATCTCCTGGGAACTTCAGAACTTGGAAAAGAAGCTAATCCTAAAGAAAGGGGGTGAAACCATTTATGAAAAACTCTAGTGATGATTTAGCAGCGAATGAGAGGATGGTGAGGAGATGGTGAGAAAGCAAATGGAGTTGCAAACATCTTCTGAGTTTCCACTGTGTGCCGGGACCATGACAAACAGCAGCTCATTTCATTGTCTCAAGAGGATGCCCAGGAAGGAATTCTCTCCGAGCAACTCCTTCTGTGACCAACCACCACTCATTTCACAAATGAGGAAACTGAGACAGGGAGCCTAAACAGCTTGCCCAGGCTACATAGGTAACGATGATCGGTAGGTAGGGATGGTTGGGTTTGAGATCAGGGTCTGAAACTTAATAATGTGTGCCTTTCTATCATCTCTTGTTATAAATATTGACGAAAAAGACCTTTTCCATTATTGGAGATTTTTTTTTATGGCTATAAGAAATAACAACAAGAAAAATAGGAATTTATAATTCTGTGAAACATGTTAACTGTAATTTGGATAGAAGTATGTTATAATGGTCAGAGGAGATGCTGTAGTCTAAGACAGACCTTGGCTCAATTCCTGGTTGTGCTACTTGAAAGCTCTGGGACCTTGGATAGGACAATTGACCTTCATGAAGCTCAGTTTCCTGACTGAAAGGAGGTGTTATTGATACTAACCTCATAGGTGTTATTTACAATACCTCATAGTGGTCAAGGCTTTAGAGTGAGAGAGCACTAGGTTTGAATTTCAGATTCCCACTTACTCACTGTGTTCCTGGGCAAGTTATTTAACTTCTCTAATCCTCAATTTTCTTGGAAAATAAAATGCAGATAATAGCACAATGCCCTTAGAACTGATGAAAAGGTTAAATATGCTAAATGATGAGCCCTGTCCCTGGCATCTACTAAGTGTTCAGTAAAAGGACACTAATATTATTGTAATTTTGAATAAAGATTGTTTGTGTATTATAAGATAAAAAATCTTATGACAGCTATCTTATACTAGTGCGTAGCAGAATTTTCTATGATTCTGGGGAATAAGACAGAGTACAGTAGAAAATCATACTTTCTGAGAGATTTTTTTGTGTGTGATATTTTTGGCCTTGAATAAGATATCCTTCCAACTCTTGTATCTATAGTCTTAGAAGTAGGAGCCAGTTATATTTGATCTCCCAGAAAATCAATGTTATTATTTAAAAGGAAAATATTAGCATTTTGTTGGAAGCTCCAAGGCTCCCGTGGAATGACAGGAAAACCACTGAGGCAGGTGTGGAGTGAAGGATGGAGGTGTGGGCAGGTGAAGGGCATGGCCATGGGGAGGAGCCCACTTTCAGCAGTCTGCTCTCGGCTCAGCACCTTGTCCCTCTACCCTTCTGGGCTCAACTGTCACAGCAAAGTCCTTCAAGGTGACTTCACATCATAAAGATGACATTCTCTCATCACTCCTTAAATGAAAATAAACCGGGGGAATTATTAAATATTGCAATATCACATATGTCAACTTTAGAATTCAATTTTGCCATTGTTGGACAAAGACATCTGAAAACAACATATAGACAAATGGGCATGTCTTTGTTTAAATAAAACTTTATTTACAAAAGCAGGTTTCTGCCTGCAGGTTGTACTTTGCCAACCCCTGTCTTGGGCTTCGCTTTTAGTTGCCTATTTGATTACTTTTAGAAACTCAACTCCAGGTTTCCATGCTGTTTGGCTTTTGTCCTGAAGGGGAGGCAGTCGTCCTTGTCATTGTGATCAAATAATTTTTAGTTTTACTTGATGAATCTGTGTGGAATTTTTTTTTTTTTTTTTTTTTGGTAGACTGCAGAAAGAACAGAAAGAATGACCCCAGTTAGCCAAAAAAATATCCTTTCCTGAAAATTGTCACAGAGGTGACAAAGCCAGTTTCTGGAAAGAAGATAGGAAACTTGTCCAATAATAAGTTGAACTGATAAAAATAGGTCCGGTAGCAAATGCCAAATTAAAAGAGGTTCTGACAAGTAACAGTTTGTGAGGAGGAAAGAATCAAATGCAGCTTGCTGGGTTTCTTGGCTGGTGCTCCATTCGCTCCATTTAGTAGGATTGCATTTGGCCGCCTGTAGTTGAAATCTGGCTATAGTGGCTGAATCAAATAGAGATTTAGCTGTTGATAACCTAATGGAAAGTCTGGACGCAGCAGCCCAGGGGGCGTGTAGCTGGTCGAAGTTTCAAAGATCTTGGCTCCTCTAGCTTCCTGCCCTGTGATCCTTAAAATGTGGCTCTTAGCTTCGTAGTCACAAGGTGGCTGCTGTGTCTCCAGGCATCAGATGCAAATTTCACGCTAGAAAAAGGAAAGAGAGGCAAGGAGCAAAGGCCTTGCTAGAGTTTGTCCCAGGAGCCTTATGTATGTGGCTACCCTTAGCTGCAAGGGAGTCTGGAGAAGTGGGTGTTTTTAACTGGGTATGATACCTCAAATAAATCTGGGTTTCTCTTGGTGAGGAGAAAAGGAGAGTGGATTTGAGGAAGGCAATAGTAATATCTGCCACATTCTCCAAAACAGCAAGTCTGTGCTGCATGGTGACTAAGAGGAGGGCTCTTGAAACCAGGTTGATTCGGCCAAGTTTCCCCATTTGTGAAGGGGAATCTTATGATCTCTCATAGAGTTGTTCTTAAAATAATCCATGTAAAGTGCCAAACATTATTGTCATTACTACTGTTACTGCAACACTCCACCCCCACCCCCACCTTCTTGGAAATTGCATTTTTCCTTAAAGTAAATTGTCTGGTTCTACAGCAGCCCGCCTGGGAACTTAGGCCTAAGAAGCCGGCAGAGCTGGCACCACCTAACCTTTTATTGGTCATTCCTTTCCAAACAAAACAATAGGGAATGCTTGGGAGCACTGGGTAAATCTGTTCACGAGAGTCCCAAGGGGACACCTGAAGTAGGTTCTGAAAAATGAGGAAGAATTTGCCAGGCAGAAAAGAGGGCACCAGCAAGGGCATTCTAGGGAAAGGGAACAGCATGTGTAAACAGCAAAGAGCACACTGCCTCATGACATCACCCAGTGACATCACCACTTCCAACCCAGAGCATCAGTGGAATTCTCGCCAGGGTCCCACAGGCATGACCAGAGGGTTGCCAGGCAATCACAGTGCTGCTGCTATCGGAGGCGACCTCTTGGTAAAAGGCTTATGTTTGTCAAAAGGAGATAACCAGAAATGTGAGGCCCTCTGTCCAGAAGCTCTTAGACTGCATTTTGTTCTGCACGTGGTATTCCTGTCCCCGAGTCAGTGCCTCACAAGACCGTCAAGCTGTGCCATCTGAACACTTTATGAAGTAAGTGTTATGAGCGCCGTTTCATGTGTGAGCGAGCTGGAGTGCAGGCAGGTTAAACCACTGTTCAAGTTCACTCGAGCCAGAGCATTTGAACCTACGCCAATTCTCTCTACTGCAAATCTGTCATCTCACCAGGGAAGGCACCTACCCACTCTGTCATCATTTTTAGGTCATCTTTGTGTAGGAGATGGGAGCAAGTTTTCTCAAGGCTTAGAATTTTGGGGCTAGAAGAGTCTAGAGCTGTGCTCTCCGATAGGACAGCTAACTGGGCACATGTGAGTATTGAACACTTAAATGTGGCTGTCTGGCTAATGCAAGTGATGAATTGAATGGGAATTTTAATCTTAGTTAATTTTCCTTTAAAAAATAGCACTCCATTCAGATATTGAAAAACTTTTAAGTATATTTTGAATAAGTTGGTATGGGAATTTACTTTTCACCCATAAACATTGGGAAATCTAACTGCAGATCAAATATGAATGATAAAAATTTAGCATCTGAATTAAAATGTGCTCTAAGGATAAGAAACACCCTGGGTTTTCAAGATATAATACAAAATAAATAATGTATAATTTTTCATTAATAACTTTTCATGTCGATTCCATGTTGAGATAATGTTTTGGATATATTGTGTTAAATGGAATACCTTATTAAAATTAATTCCACCTGTTTCTTTTTCCTTTTTAAAGTCTGACTACTAGAAAATTTGAAATTACTTAAATAACTTACATTATATTTTTATTGAGCATTACTGTTGTCGAGAACACATCTCTCTTTCCAGGTGAGGAAACCGGGCTCCTCTCTGTCTCAAAAAGAAGTTGACCACTGGACAAGAACAGATGCCGTTCATGCCTTTGTCTCAAATGGCACAGCCTTGGGCAAGTCACCACACTTCCATGGATCCCCTTCTAAAAAATCTGGGTAGATTTTTTTTATATTCCAAGTGTCTATGATCCCATTAAAATCTTTAGATTTTCAAAGGTATTAATCAACATAGGTCTATATCAAGAGGAAATTAGGAGATGAAGGTGTAATATAGAAAATGGTGTGGCAATGAGTTATGCTACTTTAATAGTATTATAGGCTTGATTAAAAACCTAAATAAATTAATAATTATCCTTATTGGATAAGATATAAATATATAAGGCATACATCTATATTACATATACATACATATACATACGCACATAGCTACACAAGTACACACATATATATCACCTATAAATATGTATGGTATTAGTCTTATTTACATATTTTAAATAGGAAAACTGATTAACTAACTTGCTCACAGTCACTTAGCTAGTAAGGGTTAGAACTGGGGCTCAGGTTGTAGTCTGTTTGATCCTACGGTCTGCACTCCTACCCACTACCATTCACCGTGAGTGCCCAGAGGCCCTAGGTGGCAAACCCCTTCAGGATGCCCTTTCTTTCCACTAGTCAGCTGAACACCCAGGGACTGCAACTTGGTCTGTGCTCAAATGGGGGGGAATTCAGGGTCTAGATGGCCTGAAAGCTGCACACAGCGTTCAGGAAACTTGGAGGTGGGAGGTTTGAATTAGCCTCCCAGACCAAAGGGAGTACCGACCATTTGTTAATTTGATTTTGTTTAGGTTACTGAGCCATGATTCATCCTTAATTGCATTGTTTCGAATGACTAAATAGTCTAAGTATTAACCATCTGCGAAGTGGTTGCCCAGCTTCGTTTTAACTAGGACACCTTAGGAATCATTAAAATCAAAACACCCTTGGCCTTCCTCTGGGTCTTGGGCCCTCCACG